TTCTCATTTAACCCATCCCAAGTCCTCCTTTCACGGAGGTGCAAACCGCAGTTACACAGCAAACCCAGGTTCCGACTCAGGTCTACCCAGAGTCTCGGCTCTGCAGAGCTCCTGAACTGATTTAGGAAGCAGCCTCGGTAACACAGCCTCTGATTTCCTACACTGAAAGGCGCTAGGACCCCCCGGTGCACAGGGGACTGCCACATGGAAGGGGCACCTGCTGAATCTCGTGGGCGGAGTCGCTCTGGCGTGCAGCTGCGGTCTGGTGGCCTGCAGGACGAGTGCTCTTTCCCTTAGGTTCCTTTTGTTAATCCACTTATTTGCCAACGTTTTTAAAATAGAATTCATATAAGTATAGAGTTCCACTTTCTCTCAAAAACAGGAGGAAAACATCGAAAGGTCTAGAACAATGTGCCCACGTTTGCCGCAGTGGATGGGCTGCAGGTGAACGGCCCGGGCCAGAGAGGAGGAAGGCTCTCACCAGGGCCTTGGCGAGGGCAGGCCTCCGGGGCTGGGGCCCCACTCAGCCCCCGGAGAGCAGCCGCGGGTGCCTCCCCAGGCCGCAGCCCCGATCCCTGCCCTTCTCCCGTCTTTGCTGTCCTGTCTTTTACCCGACCTTACGACCTACCAAGGTACCTACACTTCCAAAACAATCTCAAGGAACTGCCGCACCAGCCTTAAGCTTTTTACATAAATGAGGCATCAAAATCCAGTAATGAGTTTCAAAAGCCGAAAACAGAGAAAATGAAAGGCAGAAAAACAATAATGAGGAAAATTCCCAGAACTGAAGCATTTCCAGACTAGGGAGCATGTCCACCAAACGCTCAGCACAATGGAGACAGAAAGACTGCCAGAGGCAGCAGGAGCTGCGGCAGGGGGCCATCAGCCGACCCCTCCAGGGCGGACCTGAAGGCAGGGCACTGTCCCAGAAAGCACCACAACTCATGCCAGGAAGCCACCCTACCTCCTGAAGAACAGGACAGCATGTGCGCACACAAGTACAAAGGAAGACAAGTACAAAAGTCTCGTCCAATCATGAGTGAATCCTGATATGAAATCAACGACACAGGAACAACAATAAAATGGAGAACAAGGTCTCAGATCCAAGAATGCAGGGCTGGTTCAGCACTGGAAATCTATGAATCTGCTGCACTGCATCCAAAGGTAAAAGAAGGGGGCCTCATAAAGCACCCCAATAAATGCAGACAGCGCATCTGCTAAAATTAAAAATCCCAACTAAAAAAAACAAACTTTCTTGGCCCTGACTAGTGTGGCTCAGTTGGTCAGAGCATCATCCCATAACCAAAAGGTCACAGGTTCGATTCCCAGTCAGGGCGTGTATGGGAGGCAACCAACTGACACTTCTCTCAGGTATCAGTGTTTCTCTTTCTCCCTTCCCCTCTCTAATAGGAAAAAAATGTCCTCAGGTGAGGATAAAAATAAAAACTTTCTTAGCTAACCAAAAGTATCAGAAAACCACAGAAATACCATACTCAACAGCAAAATATTAAAAGAATACTCATTAAACTCAGGAGACAACGGCAAGACAAAGACGCCTGCCATCACCATTATTCGACATTACATCGGAGGGCTGGACAACGAATGCTTCCAGGACAAGGAGTGCAAGAAAAAGGAATGATAGAAATATTAGAAGAGACTGCAGATAGGACTGTGACTAGAAACTCTAAAGCACCAAACTATTAAAACAAAATTCTAATAAGCCAGTTGTCTATAATTCAATTACAAAAAATAAACTTTTCTATAGATCAGTAACAGATTTGAGAACAGGAGAAACAAAGCTGCACCATACCTGACCATGAAAACGAGTATGAAACATCTAGGAACTTAAAGAACAGAAAACGAAAGGAGCGTGAAAGGAAAGCTGCGGCAACGGCAGTCCCCCTGGGGGCGAGTCTGGTGCTCTGTCCCGTGAGCCCGCAGCCCCGAGCAGGCCGGCCGTGAGCCCCCGGCAGGTGACTGACAGGCCAAGAAAAACCACCTGACACATTCTTACTGCTGATGGAGGAGCCCACTGGGGAAAAATACTGATCATCTCCAAATTACGTTAATAAACCCGAATGTGATCCTAATAAAAATTTCAGAATTTTTTATAGAAGATAAATAACAATTTTGAAGTTCACTTTTTAAAAAGTGCACAGGGCTAATCAAAAACTTCCCTAAAAGAAAATTCTGTTTATTTAACACATACACAACGAAGCAACAATTTTTTAAAACTACGAATGGGAATTTATTATAAAGGTGGAGAACATGGAGAATTCAGTAAATCGTATCAGAACCGTCAGAGGTCCCAAAGTCACACCATGCCAAAATAAAATCCCACGTGAATAAAAGCTAAAAAATGTTTGAAAAGTAAAAACAAAGAAACGCAGAATATTACAGGATAGAGAAGCTTTGAGCATGGCAACGTCACTACGAAAAAAATTGCGAGGAACATAGAAAGAGCCCCGGCTGGTGTGGCTCAGGGGACTGAGCGCCGGCTGCCAAGTCAGGGCCGCGGGTTCCACTCCCGCTGGGACACACGCCTGGGCTCCCGGCCAGGGCCCCGGTGGAGCGCACGAGAGAAGCGACCGCGCGCTGATGTTTCTCTCCCTTACCCGCTCCCTTCCCCTGTCTAAAAACAAGCGCAATCTGTAGAAAACATAAAGAAAGAACTCTTTAAAAATAAGAAAAAGATCAACCGCTCAACAGAAAAAAATAAATAAGCAAAAAATAAATACAATGCATGGAAAAAAGATATAATTTCACCAGAGACTGGAAAAGAAATACGTTACCACACTGAGGCTATCTTTTCCGTCTCAAGATTATCAGAAACATGTAAAAGTCCCACCCTGGCTGGGGCGGCTGGGCGGGGCGGGCGTTGTCCCAGTCCGGGCACAGGCCTGGGTTGCGGCCACCGCCACGGCCCCGGCCCCCGTTGGGGGGCGCGCGACAGGCAAGCGATCCATGTTTCTCTCCCTCTCTCTCCCGCCCTCCCCCTCTGTAAAAATAAATACGTGAAGCCCTTTAAAAGCATATTTTAAAAGTGTCTGGGAAGCGGGGCATCTCCTGCACGGCCAACGGAGAAGACCAGCGGCACCACTCTTCTGGAGGGCCTCACCACAGCGGCTACGACCACCGGCTGTAACTCTCCGCGCATGCGCCCACGCGAGGAGGTATCCTTCCGCCAAGCCGCGGGCTAGCTCGCGGCCGCAGACTTCCGGCGCCGCCCTTTCTACGGCACTGACCGGGCCGGAAGGCCCAGCGGAGAGGCAAGCCCCAGCCCCGCTGCCGGCGTGGACACGGGAGCTCCAAGACCGGAAGCCTCCGGGCCGGAAGCCCTGGGGCCTGCCCACCAGTGAGCAAGGACCGCGGGGCCACCGGGCTCCAGGCCACTGTCCGAGGCCACTCAGCTGCGGAGGGGCCGCTGGGAGACGCCGCCCGCCCAGATGTCCCGCCGGGACAGCGGGGCCTGGGCGCAGGCCCCAGGGGGCACGGCGGCCCTCGGGGGGACCGACCCCCGGGGTGGGCCAGGATGAAAACAGGGCAACGGCCGAACAGCAGCACACACTGAAGGGAGCGTCGGAAGCAAAGCAGGGGGCCGGGAGACAGACGGACGGAGCGGGCGGTGGACGTACTGGACCCAGAACGAAAGCTCGAGCGAGCGGCTGGGGCCGGGCGTCGGCGGGGCCTGCGGCCGGAAGAACGCGGGGAACCTAAAGGAGCCCACGCCGCCCGGGCTCGGGCTTCCCGCGGACACCAGAGAGCTCTGCTCCCCGTGTCTCACGTCCGGCAGCGTGAGACCGGGAGGCCGCGTCCGAGCCCCACATCCCGAAGCCGCTGGCCCTGGCCTTTGGGAAACCCCGCCGTCCACGCGAAAGCGCCCCACAGGCCACCAACCAGTGAAGAACACCGTAAAGCCACAGGAACGCGCGCCCTGCCCCGGACCGGGCGGCCGCCCGCGGGCCGCCTGAGGCCCTCGCTCCCCCTCGCGTCCCTCCCCGCCCTCCAAAAAAGAAAAAATAAAGCCGTGCTGACCCAGGGGCTCCCAGACCAAAACCTGAGAACAAAAACAACACAAAAACAGATATAAACGCAGCACGACGACCGCCCCCCGCCCGGCCCAGAGCTCCCCGAGCGAGGCAGGCAACCCCCGGGCTTCACGGTGGAACTCGAGAAGCCCGACAGACCCAACTCGGGGAGCAGCGACCTGACAAGCAAGTGGCCCACGGCCCACCCGGCCACCAAGCGACGTTTGGGCGGCGGTGTCCGCGCAGAGGCTTCGGCACTCGCTCCGGCCCGAGCTCCGGGCCGGTGACCAGGCCACGGCAGGCCCCGGGCCGGACACCCGGGGGCGGGGTGGGGGGGGGGGGTCTCCCGGTTCCCAGGACGACCGCTGCCCGCGGACACTCGCGGACACTCGCCTCCGCGCGTCCCGTGTCGGCCTCGAGACTCAGCGAGAAGTCCCTCTCGAGCAGTCCTCCGCGCTTAGGAAAGGGGGGGAACGGCCTCCGTCCACACGACGCGCCTCCGCCAGAAGGTGACTTTCTGAGCCGCGCGAGTCGGGTGTCCCGTCAAAACCACTTCCGCTCGGCGACCGAGGCCGACTGCCCGGGGACGCGGCCCCGTTCTCGGCACCTGTGTGTCCCCGCTCCGCGTCACGTGAAACGCCGCCGTGAGCCGCTCACAGGTCTCCACCAGACCAGCGTGGACTCACGTGGAAGCGCGGCCGGCTGAGATGACCTCTCGGGAACGCCGCCGTGTCACCGGGTCCCCTCCCGACGGCGGGCCTTTCATTCTGGGCTGCACTGCCACCCCGACGCGTCAGCGAAGCCCCACCCGGCGGCGACCACCCCCGCCCGCCCCGGGTCCCGGCGGCCCGCCCCCAGCCACCACCGCTCACGGGCCCTGCGCTCCGAGCGGATGCTTCGGCGGGGGCCCGCGGCAGCGCACGGGGACGCGGCCGGGGCGCGGCGGGCAGGGCCCGGCTGCCGCTCACGTACCTGCGGCGCCGGCTCCTCCGCCCGCTCCTAGCGCGGCCGCCATGCTGCTGCTCCGCCCGGCTTCGGCCGCGCCGCGCCGGCTGGGGGGCAGCGGGCGGCGGGCCCAGACGGGGGACGCGGCGAGCGAGGCAGCGGGTCGCGGCCACTCAGCCCTGCTCCTCCGCAGGAAAACAACAAACTACTGCAACATGGCCGCCGCTCCGCCGCCGCCGCCGCCGCCGCGGTGCACGTCGGGAGGAGGGCGGCCGGAAGGCGCCTCAGCGGCCCGCCCCTCGGAGGCCGCCGCGCCTCCGCGCCTTCTTTGAGAGGCCGAGGCCGAGTAGGGCAGGGAGACGGGCGGGCGGCCACCCTGCTCGGCTCCACAGACCCAAACGTTTGACGTGGACACGGAGCGGCCGCGGCCGTACTTTGGCCCCAGGGTCTGTCCGTCGCAAGCGCTTTTCAGCAGCCGGCGGCGTGCCTTACGGCCGGCGGCTCTCCGGTGGGCAGCGGGAGCGAGTAGGCCGCGCGTGCGGAGCAGGGACCGACTTTAGTTTCTGTGTTGGGACAGTGGGGCGAGGAGCCGGAGCGGGAGTGTCAGCGGCGCGGACTGAGGAGGGGCGGGAGCGCGCGCCCGGGCGGCGTCGGCGCCGAGCGTGGGCGCGCGACCGCAGGCCGCGCATGCGCTCTGCCGGGGTGTGCGGTCGGGCAGGTGGACGCGGCGGGGCAGGTGCGCGGGCCCCGGTGCACCCAGTCCGCCTCTCAGTGCTGCCCTGAGACTCGCTTAACGGAGTTCATTTCTTCCTTTTTATTGAGTTTGCTGGGGTGACACCGGTTAACAAAAGTTATACAGGCTCCGGGTGCACAATTGCACGGCGCACCATGTGTACACTGTACTTACTGTGTGTTCACCGCCCCAAACCAAGTCTCCATCCATCACCATTTATGCCTCGTGCGCCCACTTCCACGGCCACCACCACACTGTTGTCCGTGTTCACGAGTTTCTTTTCTTCCCATTTTCGCTCAACCCCTCCACCCCGGCACCCCCCCTCCTCCACAGCTGCCGTCCTGCTCTCTGGGAGTCTGGTGTCCATGCTGCTTGTCAGCTCAGTTTGCTCATTAGATTCCACACGTGAGTGAAATCATATAATAGTTCCTGCCGTCCGTGACCGGCCTAGCACAATGTCCTCCAGGTCCATCCATGCTGTCGCAAAGAGTAAAATATCCTTTTTTTTTTTTTTACGGCTGAGTAGTATTCCATTGTGTGAGTGTACCGCAGCTTTTTTATCCACTCGCCTACTGATGGACAGCAGGTTGAAATAAGAGCCAGAGTGTTCATTTCTGAGCAGCAAGGATGTCACCAAAGGAGACACTCATAAGTGACGGGAGTAAAGGGCATTGGGGACGAGACGGTGACTTGGAAAGGCTGAGGGCTACTTGGGACCCTGTGTCCGAAGAAGGCGGGTCTGGGTTCTCCGCAGCTGGGGGCGGGGCAGGGGCTGAATGTACCTGGATCTTCAGATACACACAGGCTGCAAACGTTGCTTCCATGACAGTGCGTGTGCGGTGACGGGGAAAGGAAAGGGCCGTTCCAGGCAGAAGGAAGGCTGACAGAGGCTCCCAGGTGTCCGGCGGCTTGTGTGGTTGGTGACTGGAAGTGGCACCTGTGGCGACTGGACTGTTCAATAAAAAAGGCGCTCACTCTCGCTCGATGAGCGGGAAAGGTGTGCGAGGGCCAGAAGGCGTTTTTCTGAAGCCGTAGGGAGTAGGGAAGGGTGCTAATAATGGAAGTTACAATGTAAGAGTTATGTTTAGAGACACGGCATGAGAAAATGCGCAGCATGGAGAGGCATGAAATGGAGTCGCTCACCCCAGTTAATAACACTCCAGTGGCAATCCTAGTAACAATCGCGACATTCCCTGCGGGAGATGGGTTCCTGGATGAGCGGGTGAGGAAACAGTGTAATCATATGTTAATAGTAGCAACGAGTGAACAAACGGAAAACTCAGACACAGACGGCAGTATGGTCAGTACCAGAGGGACAGAGGGGCGGGGGACATAGAAAAAGGTGAAGGGGTCAAATGCATGGTGACGGAAGGAGATGTGACTTTGGGTGGCCAGCCTACAGTGCAACACGTGATACAAATGTGCACTTGAAACCTGCATAATTTTATTAACCCACGTCACCCAACAAATTCAGTTTTTAATAAAACGTTAAAGGAAAAGTTTAAATGTTTAAACTTTACTTTTTTAATTTAAATATTTATTTATTTTTAGAGAGGGAAGGGAGGGAGGAGAGAGAGAGAAACATCAATGTGTGGTTGCTGGGGGTCATGGCCTGCAACCCAGGCATGTGCCCTGACTGGGAATCGAACCTGCAACACTTTGGTTCACAGCCCACGCTCAATCCACTGAGCTACACCAGCCAGGGCTAAACTTTACTTTTGAAAGTCAGTCTTTCTCCAACATTGGACCTGGACGGAATGGGTCACAGGCAAGCAGCTCCAAACGCAGCACATCAGTTTGCAGGGCGAGTGGCGGAAACATCCCAAGGGGTTTCAGAAAACAGAGCACGATGATCCCCAGCAAACCTAATGGTAGAATCTTGGTGAACAAGAGAATTTTACTTTAAAACTTTTCAACTTCTATGTTTAACGCTTTTCATAATAAAGTGTTTAAAAAACATTCCTTGTGTAATAACTAATGTAATACTCATCTAAAACATAGAAGCCAAAAAATGGCTAGAAACACCTTCATTTGATTCAGCTGCATGTAATCACTGCAAAAAATTGTGAGTGTGTGCGTGTGTGTGTGTGCGTGTGTGTGCTGGGCAAGCAATCTCAAATAACTGTCCCCATTGCAGAGCACATGAACACACCCAGACTTAAAACAAATTCCCAAAGATGAATTAATCTCGCAGATACTTTGTAGCTACATAGTACTTCAGGAAAGACAAGTATCTCAGTTGTAAACCACCAGAAACTAAATTTCTCTAGGACAAGAGTCTCCACACCGTTTTGACCCAACGCCCATGGGAAACCCGTCTGAGCTTGGGCACCAAATACTGCAAGGTCTTGACTCTGAGTGCAGGTTTACCAAACCCATTCTTTCCCTCCACCTGACAAATAGCGCTTCCGGTTGGCTTCCTACCTTGTCCTAGAAAGCTGATGAAGGTGGATGGTGAACTGCTATAAAATAACATTGTATCACAAACGCCCTCTGAATGGGAAACTCCTTCTGGTTTGACAGGCATGAATACCCTCCAGACACTTGTCAGGAGGCCGTACCTTTAGGCTCTTTTCACTGCGTGCAGAGATCTAATAATGCACTCAGGTAACTACCAGAAGGCAGACTGGTTGCCAAGGGCGAGGGGCTTCTAAGCCAGAGCAGCTCCCACACCCCAGTCTTCTCACACCTGAGCTCATGCATGGGGGCGGGGGGGGCTCACGCCCACCTGTGTGGACTGCAGCAAAGAGTGCCGGAGGCAGCTCTGCTACCATCATGCAGTGCTTCTCCGTCTCCCTAAGGGAAGCTGCTGCCAGGGGTGACATTGTATGAGTGTAAATGCTAGACCTGAGTGAACGCTTACAGTCTCATCCATGCCCTGAAAATCTAACAGCTTGGCTTTGTTTTTTAGTTAAAAGCGAATACAGAAACTTTCTTCCTCTGTCAACATGACAGGCTCAATATGGAAACTCTCGGGCCCCTCCCTCCCACTGCCAAACAGATTCTGCAGAAATCATCTGGCGTCGTTGCAGTACCGAGTTCCAGAGATTGAAACTCCAAGGGAGCAAGAGAGAAGGAAAAAACCCCAACCCTGAGCGGTAAGCAGCAAGCTTGCAGGAAGGGCAGGTTTCCCGGAGGGAAGGCCCCTCCGTCAGCGCTGCCAAGGGGAAAGACATTCTCGGCCCCTGGCGGGGAGAGAGAAGTTCAGCGCAGGCTCCCAGACCAAGCCCGAGATTCTGGACGGACTCCTTCAAGTGATGCTCCCACGTATTTCACAGTTTAAGGTCAACCAAGCCCTGGCTGGTGTGGCCCAGTGGATTGAGTGTTGGCCTGTGAACCGGAAGGTCGCCGGTTCGATTCCCAGTCAAGGCACGTGCCTGGGTTGCAATTTCTGTCCCAGGGCAAGGACGAGAGGTAACAGATGGATTCTCACACGTCAGTCTTTCTCTCCCTCTCTTTCTCTCTCCCTCCCCCTCTCTGTAGTAATAAATAAATAAAATCTTTTTTAAAAAATGGCATCCAAATTGTGTCCATCAAAAAAAGAAAAAGAAAAGAGTCTCGTGCGCCTGCGCGTCTGCTGGGCGAGCGCTTGGGCGCCAGGCACTGGGGCAGGTGGGAAGCGAACAGTCGGGTGAGAACTTGTGCGGAGGAGAGGCCCCAAGCTCCCCTGGAGGCAGAGCAGCCAGGCAGCTGAAAGCACGCGGGTCAGAGGGGCACGAACCCAGCTCACAGGGAGCCTGGGGAGGCACCAGCCCTGCCTACCAGGCTGTGGGCTGTCGCCGGGGAGGGCGCCTGCGGAAGGCGGCCCAGGAGGTGAGCTCTGCAGAACTTTGTAAGCGAGTGGACCGAGGGATGGGTGGGGCAGACAGTCCCCACTTCTCAACCCCCTGCACCAGTAAGTTTTAAGACCTAAAAATAAGTTATTTAGAGGGGGGACTGCGGGCTGCGTGGTGGAGGCGTGAGGGCTGCAGCATTGGGGGCAGAGCACACCGCCCCCCTCAGGTGTGCACGCCCCACGACCAGGGGACCTAGAGAGACAGGAGCCCGGGCGCAGGTAGTCTTCCGGGCTGGGGACGGAGAGGCTCGAGTATGTTTCTGTGTTTCTGTCCACACACAGTGCTGTCGTCAGGCGGGATTCTAGTTCCGGCCTCCCTTCTGCATTTCCACCACGGTTTCTTTCCTGTGTGTCTCGGGCAGGTGGACGCCTCAGGACACTGCCCAGCTGGCCCGCCCTGGAGGCGTGCGCCCCAGGTTTCCCTCGTAATTACTGAGTATCTGGGGCGGGGAGGTGCTTGGAGACCGTGTAAACATTTTGCGCTGATTCCCAGGCGCGAGGACCCTGGCCTGAACTGGCGGCAGTGGTGCGGGGCGCCCACCCACGCCTTAGAAGTCTACGTTCCCTCCTGGTAACGCCGCTTGTAGGGAAGGGCCTTCACTGTTCCTCGCTTGTTTGCACGTTCGGTTGTTTAGGTACATCAGTAAGGATCGTGGATTCTTTTTTTTTTTAA